CTCCTCCCCCTCCTTATCTTTATTCTTTTCCTCTTCCTCTGCATCCTGCTCCTGACTGAGTAATTACCAATAATATGTATTCGTATTCCCTAAGGCTTATTATAATTAATGTATAATGATACTTGGTTTTAAGGTGTCCATTTGTTGCTACGGCATTGCTTTCAAAGTTTCGATACGGAATTTCTTCCTGCAAAATGTTTTTGCAGAATATTTCAGTGACGCATTAAGCAAAAGTCAGGTTTTTGGAATTGAAGGTTATGAGCGTCATAGAAGTGAGGGTGCGTTGACGACATTGCTGAGTACTGTTTACATTCAGCCCGTGAAAACATCGGTTCTTCCTTTTCAGAATACGGCAAGCCACTGCTTTTTTTAAAGGAAAAATATTTAAAAAATGAAAACTCCAATGAATTTTGAAAAAAAAAACTTGGCTGCGTCACTTCAACTTGATGATGAGAAAGTCCAACTCATAAGTTTGACCATGCGGATATATGTGCACGAGAACGAACAGGCAGCGGATACTATCTGATGTTATGCAGCTTGGGACAGAAAAACCTGACACAGCTGCATCCAGTAATATCGCTGACATGAAATGCTCACGGTGATGGTTCGGAAGGCCTTGGTAATCCCGGTCTATGTAGACAAAATGGATTAGTGGTAGGTATTTAAGGTACGCCGAACGAATGTAATGGAAAGCCTGGGAGAATGAAGAATCTACTAGGAACTACACAGACGCAGCAAATTCAGACAAAAAGCAGAATGCAGTAGCAAATTCAGACAAAATGCATCGAAGGAACACAGCGATGAAGTGCCAGAGCATGTAATATCAGAACAAGGCACATGTGGATGGAACAGTTTAAAAAAAGAGTTTTGCTTAGCTAATATTTTGACTTCAGAATCCTATAAAAATACTTTGCAAAGTATTTTGAGATGTTAGAAATTTAAAAAAAAAATGAGAAAATGATGCAGTCCTGCTAGTAGTAGAGGCGTCAGTTCTAACCACGCAGAATGTAATAAGGACATGTTAAAATCGTTAATTACTGAATAGAAGATAAGTCTATGGTTTGCATGATTTAAAAACAGTTTTGGCAGCGACACTCCGGTAAACGGACGTTTAATTAAAATAATATGGAGGACAGTAAAAACTGTTATTATGAATATCATTATTGTTATCATTATCATCACTGTTACTGCTACGATGATTATTGTTCACACTATTCTATTACCAGCGTTGCTGTATTATATTCCATGTTATTACGATTTTGTTTATTGTTACTACTATTACTATTCTGCTGTTATTTTCATCTTTATTATTGCCATATTGAAGGTATGTAGCTCAGGATCGAAATGACTTGTAAAAGCAGCTGTGCTTCTAGCAGTACAGATAATATGGGAAATCCAAACCAAGTGTCCAGGCACTCATGGTACTATTAGTAATATTACTATAAAAAGATCGGTAAAGCAAATAATCATTATAGGGGAATAAGCCAAATAGTCCAAAAATTGCAGGTTTGGGAATTTTTGGTTCCAGCAGGGTTGTGCGCCAAATGATTTATTGTTAATGGACTTCAACAGTGCGATGACTGTGATAAGGACAATTTTGGGGACATACCATGAATTTCTAACACGAATTGTTTTCTCAAACCAGCAACATTGCCAGGAAACATAAAATATTCATTTTGTATCTTTATCATCCGCCCATACTAATTTATAGAATTACGAGAATCTAGAATTTTAATAAAGTAGCTTTCAAAAAAAAAAACGAAAATTCTGGGTATCGCTTCTTTTACAGTCGCAAAATTTTTACTTCAGATTTCCAATCAAAAATTTGGTGTAACACTCAAATTTCATGAATGAAACGCGTCATTTCAGTAGTGTCGCGCAAAACAAATTGGAATATGTGTAGCCTTACCTTGTTGCGTAAATGAAGAATTTTGCACAGAACATCGAAAATGCTTGCTAGCGTCCGGCGTCGACTTTTGAAATCATAGCTGGTCTCTTTGTGTGTTAGAGTGTTGGCAGTAGCAGTAGCAGCAGCTAAGCACTGAGGGTGATGCTGGAAAAACGCCAAGCAATCCAGTGTTGCGTTGGCCACATCGTCATCGGGAGTCGGAGCAACTTCGGGCTCACGGCTTTTTTTGAGTTCCGAAGACTTTCCATATGGGGCAAATTTGCTGCGAGTAACACTGTGAGTCTGATCCACAGAGATATCATTCAGAGCAGCTCTGGAAGCCCAAGAACTCAGTCTTCTTCGTATCACACGTTTCTTCTTACGTCCCTGGATCGGATGTGCCGTGGCGAAGGTGTTCTGCATCAGGAGCACACCACTAGTTGGTGGCAGCGATGCCTCAGCCGGCATCGGTATTATGCAAATTTCCGCTTCAGCCATTCATTATCAGTAATCACA